TTGCTTTTCTCCGCCGTCTTATTCCGTCTCACACAGCGGCGATCTTTCCAGAATCTCACCCAACACCGCTTCAGAAACTGAAAGTCCCACAAATAAAGCACGTAGGCAGACAAAGTAATTAGGACATATAGGACAAAGAACCACCAAAATCGCACGCCGTTCTGTCCGAGAAGATCAATGTTCATACCAAATAAGCTGGTGCTAAAGGTGAGAGGAATGAAGAACGTTGCTAATAAAGTTAGCTTTTTAAGTCGTTCAGATTGCTCTATTGCCTTTCGAGACTCCTTAATCGTAGCTTTGTTCATCGCTAGATTTATACCCTGAGTGCACATTCTTAACAGGTCAATACAACGAATATAGAGCTGCTCGTAGTCTTCCCAAAGGTTATTCGCTGCAAAAGCATTTTCAAAATTACTTAATCTAATATTTCTAGCTGTCTCGGTTTCTAACATCTCCTGGTGCATACTAATGCTTAGGGGCACAGCAATTTTAGACATTGGGCTTGCCGCTCTAACACCATTTAACTTTTAATTACTTTGATTAATTAATTTGCAGAACGCGCGAGTGCTTTCTGCCAGCTACTAAGCATGCCTATCCAGAATATTATAAAAATACTAAAAAGTTCCCAATACGTCGGCTAAGACTCCTTTAGCTACCGCATCAATCTACATTTGAATCCTAGACTCTATAAGGTTTAAAAACTAAATTTCGGAGAAAGCAGTATGCGCAAATAATAAGATGCACATTAATAGTAGATCTTAAGCTGCGCGACGGGACAGATCGACGAGCCTAACTAGTGAATCGTACTGCAAGGGGAGAACAGCCGTACTCTGCTAGAATTCCACTAAAGAATTAGTATTTAGATCTAGATAGTTAGTGGTGGTTCGAAATGCCATCTTATGATGGTGCTGGATTATAGGTAATACTGTGGCCTTAGATTCGATATAACTTGTCCATGGTCCGGGAGGTAACTTCTCCAAGGGTCTACCGTGGTCCATCTAAACGACAACTAGATCCTGTATCAGCAAACTCTCTTCGTGCCATATTATAAGGTCTTTTACTAGCCCAACCATAGTCTGTCTTTGTAACACAAAGCGATATCCATTGCTCAATTACGGAGAAGCACGAGCATAAGGTAGAGTACTCGCGCACCACTGAGTCTCCACAACGGACTTTAGATCTAAGCTATTATGTCTTATATACCCTAAGTTTATCTAATTAATCAGATCGCTATAACTAAAGATTCTGTCTATCAAACCCATCACGGTGGAGAATTATGCTCACACAAAGCTAGAATATATTATTAGACGAACTAGTAAGTGATGGAAGACTATATATATGCCGGTTAACGCTCGCCGAAAGGTATTCTATGTGTCGTCTAAAGAATTCCAGGTCGATGTTGTATTTGCTCCTAATGGTGGATACCCATGATGGCGATATGAAACCTTGAATGAAAATCAATTACCCAAGGCCTATCTTAGGAGTAGAGGTAGCAGCATAGAAGTCTCCGTGTTCCTCTTAACTATATCCTTGCACATCCTACTTCCCTTCGCTACTGTTGTATATAACAACAAGGTCGTGAGTTTATCTAGCATTAGAAGCGAACGGAATAGCCTATTCTTCTCTTTTTAGAAGATTAAGAAGATTGCGGTCTAGTAGCATCTAATCTCCTATATTAATATAATTGTTTCCTAGGAAGATAGATATACTCGAGCATCTTCTTAAGAGCGATATTATAGCTCGCGTGTAGTTTTCGGGAGTAACTGTGAACCTATGATTTAATTAGACCGCGCATTATAAACGATCAGCATTATAGAACTATACCTCTAGATCGTTTACGCTCTATTTTTATCGTGCAACACAATTATATTAGTAGTGTTAAATAGTGCTAATAACAACGCGCTAACAGCTCGCGTAATAGACTTGAGGATAAAGAGGCCTGCCAAAAAAAAGAATGAAAAAGGCGACTAGAGAAGAGAGTAACGAAATATTTATTAAGATTATAAGGCGGCCTAGCTGCAAGGAACACTCTATATACTAGATTTAGAGCGTTCTTAGGCGCCCGTGGTAAGCGCTACGGCCTCTAATAAAAAGCCGTATAGTAAACCGATCGTCTGCCTTCTATCTAGCCTTAAAACAGGCGAACCTAAAAATTCTTTTTCAATCTCGTAATATATAAACTAGTATAGCATGTCTAAAAGAAGTAAAAAAAGCTTACTGTAACAAAGGTAGGCTATATTATTATTACAATCAAAGCGTAATAGAGTTAACTAGCATTCCGCTGTGTGCATTCAAACGCGCTAAGGATCTAACAGCGCTGCATAGCAATCATAATTAGGACCCGCTTATTAGCGTGGCCCCTCCGCTGCGGCTAACTATATGTAACAGCTTCCACTTTACCAGCTAGCTAGGCTACAGAGTTCACAATCAAGGGTTGTGAGCAATCCCCATAGGAATTAGGCAGTTCTGAAGCATTTAGATCTGCAGTCACGGGCTTGCCGTTCTATTTTCCTAGCTAAAATCCGACGTAAGCTAATTAGAACCACAGATGCGCGGCCTCTCTATCACCAACATCGTTCCATGACCGTTCAGTATGCCGTGCTGCGGATCCTTATTCGAGGTTAAAATATGTACCACCTCTACGCACAGCCTTTAATCACTGGACATCTACTTGGGCCCAACAGCTGCTGTAGCAGAATTTTAATGAAATTGCCCGTGCTCCGCACGGGCCTAGAGGTGCCAGACGGGCCAACGCCGCGGACGGGCCAACGCCGGATTACGTCCTCCAACACCAATTATTCTATCCACTTCAACCACCTATAACGTGACTACAATGTAATTAATTGACGCTGCGCTTGCTGCTATTAACGCGCTAAAGCCTAATGAAAAACTTATGTATTCTTAAATTGCAAAAAAATATGGTGTTGACCTAGGAACGCTGAGCCGCCGCCACCGAGGTATTTCTAGCTCTAGACAAGCAGCTGCACAAAACCAGCAGGCAGTCTACCCACAACATAAAGCTGAGCTTATCGACTATATTAATAGACTTAATAAGCGAGGCCTACTACCTACACGGAGTATCGTTCGAAATATCGCGTCGCAGCTAGCTCAGAAGTAGCTTAGATACTACTAGGTTGATCGCTTTGTTCATCGTAACTCGCATCTCGTTATACTCAAGCGCACCACGCTAATCGATCGTAACCGGCGCCGAGCTGATTCAGAAAAGAAATATTAGCTTTACTTTGAGCTTCTACGCCAAAAAATCAATTAATATAAAGTAGAGCCGCGACATATATATAATATAGATGAGAAGGGCTTTATGATTAGAGTATAGTCCCGCCTAGTCAGAATCTTTTCTAAAGCTACTCTTAAGTCTAAATTGAAGAGATTAAATATTTAAGATGGTAATCGCGAATAGATTACGCTGATCGCGTGTATCTGCGCGGATGGATCGTATCTAGATCCAAGCATCATCTACTCCAGCAAATCCAGCTCTATCTAGAACTCATGGCTCTAAGGTTTTAATCTAGATATCCATACTGTGTATATCACCGCATTAGCTACTAGCTGGTCAAACGATAATATTGGTCTCTAATGGCTCAAACAAGTGTTCGATCCAGCCACCAAGCCAAAAGCTCGATCTTCTTACCGATTACTCACCATGGATAGGCACCATAGTCATATAACAATGGATTTCATTGACTATTGTGATCAGAATAAAATACTATTAGCTATATTCCCGCCGCACTCAACGCATACGCTACAGCCGCTCAATATTGGATTATTTAAGCCACTATCCACCGCATACTTGAAGGAGCTATTAAACTTCACTGATACCAGCCAAGGGCTGATACTATTCACCAAATCTCATTTCTTCCTAATATTCTGGAGAGCTTGGTGCGCAGCGTTCAAGGAATTATTAATTCTCTATGCTTTTAGAGCTACTGGACTCTTACTATTCAATCTAGAGGTTATACTTCAAAAATTTAAAACTATAACTACTAATAGCGATAGAGACGTATTAGTAGCATTAGCTTCTGATTAGAGAACGATTCGGCAGCTACTCAATCAATCTATAAGTAGTAGATCGATCTTAGCGCTTAATAGAATTATAATGAAACTATCCGCCGATACAGCGTTTCTTCAACGAGAAAACGAGCAGCTCCGGGCAGCTCTTATTGATGAGAGACAGCGGAAGGAGCGTATCTAGCCTGGTACGCTCGAGCTGTCCGACGATTATCATGGTGGAGCTACTTTCTGGTCTCCACGGAAGGTGCGACAAGCTCGCCAGCAATATGAGCAAAAACAGCGCGATTATGAGGAGTTACAACACCAAAAATCTATCGCGATTAAAGCTAGAGAGGAGAGAAAGCTACTGAAAGCTCAAGAACTAGATGCACGGCGACGGGCGCGGGCACAGGCAAAACTAGATCGTGAGAGGCAGAAAGCTGAAGCAGCTGCCCACCGGATAGCCCGCCAAGCCGCCCACAAACGACTTCAAAAAGCTATCAAAATCTCCTAAATAGGTAAGAAGTCTAGACTTAAGCGCCGTATAAAGCTAGTATCAAAAAATATTATCGTTGGCGATAGTAGTGGTGGTGCAGAGCCAGCCAATCAATCAGCTGCACCACCATCACCACGCTCGCGTTCAGGCCGCCCCATCAAGCTACCAATCAAATATTAGTAGATAGATTAAATAAATACTACTACTAGATTACTACTCTAAAATTTCTCGTGATAATAGCTTTTATGTAGAGCTCTATAGCTTCAAGTTAGTAATAGTATTAGTAGGGAAAATCCGGCGTTGGCCCGTCCGCGGCGTTGGCCCGTCCGGCACCTCTACTTATCACCTCAACGATAATAATCACCTCAATGATAACACGTAGCTTTTAGTACATATATCTACCACAACAACGTATAATTAAATAAACTTAACTACGTATTTCGCTTTTACTATGCCTAAGGTTAATAAGAAAAAGTCTGTATATAAAGAAGAGGTGGTGGCGTTACAAAAGCACGCCGAAGCGTTACGCCTGCTCTATCAACCTAGCATTAAAAGCTATGCAACTACCCACAACTTGCCATATCAGCGCCTGCGACGCGCCTATCTTAGACTTCCAAACTAATATAATCGCGCTAAGCCACCTACTTTATATCAGCTTAACGAGTCTCAAGATCTCGCTCTCAAGCGGTATCTTAATACTATCGATAATATTAGCTTTAGTATTTATCGTAGACTAGTTAAGTAGTAGGTAAACTTACTCCTTAAGAATACGTATATAGGACTAGATAAAGTTACGCCTAAGGTTAGCAAGCTTTAGGCACGAAGATGGCTCGCAAGGCACCTAAAGTATAGGCGTGTAAAGGCAAAGTTAATTAAGGTGCAGCATAAGCTTGCCCAGGAGCCAGCAACGCTCCTTAACTGTTATACTAGGCTTAAAGACCTCATCGACGAGCGCGGTATCTTGCCTAATGATATATATAATATGGATGAGACAGGCTGCCGCATTGGTGTTGCAAAAAAGCAGTACTTATACACCAAAAATGGACGTACGGTCTTTATCCACAACGCTAAAGATCGCGAGCTTATTACCCTTATTGAGTGTATCCGGGCCACAGGCGAGGTTATTCCACCTCTTGTTATCGTCAAAGCTGCTACTGTGATGGAGCATTGGATCGTGGATCTACCTGATGGGTATCTTGTAGGCGTGTCCGATAGTGGATATAGTAACGACAAACTTGTGTATGCCTGGATCTAACACTTTAACAAGGTGACAGGCCGTAGTCGCCATGGAGCTTGGCGCTTATTGCTAATAGACGGGCATAAATCTCAATATACGAAGCAGTTTTGTTAGTTTGCTGAAGACAACAAGATACAGCTCTTTGCCCTCCCACCTCATACAACCCACCTCCTCTAGCCTCTAGATGTGGGTTGCTTTCAACCGTTTAAGTGGTATCACGGCAAGACGCTTGAGTACGCCTCTCGTACAGGCTCGCGCGACATCAACAAGGCCGACTTCATGGCTACAATAGAGGAGATCCAGTGCTTAACGGTTACAAAGTCTACAATCTGCTCAGGTTAGCGCCGTACAGGCATAACGCCGTACAAACCTAACACCGTGTTAGCGCATCTTCGCGCCCAAGAAGGTTGCTACTCTAGCAATAGTGACCGCTCAGTTACACCACCACTACCGCTTATACAGCGCGCCGGTACACCTCTTGATATATCCTCGCCGCCTCCGCTTATCACATCGCCATCTCGAGCGCCTATGCGACGCTTCCAACGTGTTAAGATCGACCTAGAGACGGCACAGCTGGTGTGGCGGCCTCAACCACAGGATGCAACACCAGAGCCTGAGGACCCTAAGCCTGGCGACGCTACTTGGCATACGTCAAATCTCTAATAATCTTAGGCCTCATCAATTTCTGTCCCTTCACAATACGTCCTACTTTTCGAAAAAAGCCAAACGCTTCTTAGGACACGCATCGCTAACCAGCAGATCTACAATTTAGCTTGATCGTAATTTCCGTTTCCACTGAGATGTATAGTCGGCTTGCTTTGGACTAATAAGAGCAGCACCAAAATTACCCCGACGAAACAACACCCCGAACTTCGAAGTTTAGAATTTCTAAAGCTTGTAATTGATGCCATGATCGTAAGCGGAGATGTAACGGAGAGTCTCTATGCGATAAATGTTGTGAAGACAATATGCCTTGCAAATATGTGGAAACCTAACTAACTGTATAAAGTGTCCTCTACGTGCTTCTAGTTTTATACTTACTTCTTTTAGTTAAGAAATAACACTTTTAAAGATATACAATCTCACAGAATATACAGGGAAGGAGGTTTCTAAGTTTTCTGGCCTGCTAGAGGCGTTGGGAAGGAATTATTCCTACACACCGTCCACGCTAGACAAACCTAGGAGACGAGGCTCATTGAAGGAATTTTTGAGCGAAAATACTGATCAACTCTTCGGTGTTTATATTACTAACGTTAACATTCTATATCTAATTTTTGATAGGCCTTAGGATATATGCGTTCGTTTTTAAGGCTATATGAGTCACACAGCAGAGCGGAGCCAATTCGTCGAAGCAAGCTTCGAAAATGCCCATGCACCCCTCTTCCTTGCACTAGGAAGCTTCTTTTCAGATTCACACAACACAAAGGGTCTGGATACTATACTAGGCAAGATTTACTATGACTGGGCGTAATATATTCTTAAGCGTAAGTGTGGAGATCGTAGCATCGCTTACGCACAAGCATTGACTCTGGCTGCACTATATAACAACCAAAATGGGATGCTTGGAGAAAGTTTAGCAAACCTGTGCCTTGCTCAATCAATATACACGGACATTGTCAAGAAGTAAGGCGATTCATCATTATCTAGATAACCAGGCTGATAGCAAGCAGCTTAGTGGTAAACAAGCACGTTTCTGAGGAAGTAAAGAGAAGCGTGAGGACCTTCCAGATTCTGGCCAGGTCAGTTAAAAAATATTAGTCTAAGTGCCCCTCTAACTCGTTTCCTAGCGGCGTCCACGATCGCTTCAGCATTGTCTCTTCCATTTAATGCCCTGATGACTAGAGCACATTACTTCCAGAGGAAACGATAGAAGGGCTCACTAATGATGTTTTGTGGACAAGAATAATGCTCCGAATAGTACTTAAGGTTGCAAAAAAACATCCACCGCCAGATTTCACCTCAATCAAGAGATTTGATGAAGAGCATTTTTGCACTTTGACGAGCTCTGCGGAGTCGAAAATTAAAATCATAGAGAAATGGAGATCTAATATCATGCCGCACTTGGCCTGGAATGATCGAGAGCCACCATCCACTGATCCTTTGATGGCTTCGCTACGAGCAGAGTATTACGAGGGTGTAGCTGAGTTGCTGAGACCGTACCTGGATATTTTGAAATATCTTGATCGTATTAAGGTCTCCTACACATACTCTATAATTGGAAGAGATATGCTCTCTCCAACATTGTCGCTTTTGACCGTATCGGTGCAGTTAATGATAACGCTTACAAGGCATTTCGAAGCACAAGTAGCGGTCCGGTAGTTATAGGTAATCCTGTGAATATGCTTTACTCGTAAGCTGACTACTCTGTTACCTATAATATATATATAAGACTGATCGTTTATAGAGAATTTATAATAGTCTTTCTAATTTAAGCTATCGATTCGTCCTCGCTTGGGACATATATTAAGGGTCTCATGTGGCTTTCACAGGAAGATATAGATTATCTTTACTACCGCACAGTCGACAGATTGTCTAACTTTCGGCTAACTACTAGACTGTTAGTTCAGGATCTTTAACTTTTGTGTATGCCTTGGCCACAAAACAGCTTAGTCTTTTAGTTGCATCTAGCTGCTATATTGGTAGTATAGGTATTCTTAAATTAGGAAAAGCTAATTCTAGGTATGCTTTCGATCGTTTTTAGCTTTAAGAGTAATACAATCGTCTCATATTTCGTTATACTTCGCCTCGCAAGTCAACAGAATCTCAAATACAGTTTCCCTAGCAAGCTTCTATCAATCTAATACTCGTACTTTCTATAATTATCGTATTAGTAGTGTCTTAAATCACTTCTTATGTAAAAGATCTAGTCGGTTAAAACCCACCAACGGGAGCATTAAACTATAAGACCAGCGCTGAGCGGAAGTCCTGCTAAGCTACTTCTCCAACTACATCGCCACTTTTCACCCTTACTCTTTGCGGAAACGCTAGAACTTCAATTTAGAGAGAGCCTATAAGCTATGTGTACCCGTAAGTTAATGGAATATTCTAACTAGATAGCGGGTCACGACTCCACTAGCTGACCGTGTATATAATTAGTAGACTTCTGGCGGCATAGAGGCACAAACATACATTAATTAAGTGCGAGGTAGAAGTTTCGCATCTAGCCAAACCTAGAAGCCGATTGTGGAAGCGGGTAATTATATAGCATTATTAAGTACATAACTACTAACTATAAATTAAAAATAGGACATGACATAGAGGTGCCGATAAAAAACGATATCTAGTCTTCTGCTGGGCTAGTTGTTAGAATATGGGCATATATTAGGTAGTTGATAAAATCCGGGTAATAACAAGACTACCCAGAACTCTGTGATTAGTCAGCGTGTACAATTACCGCGATCTCACTCAGGGGATTAGGCAGATCAGAGAGAAAGAAAAAAAAATATTAATTAACAGATTAATCGATTAAGACAATAAAACATAGTTAATTCTATCTTTAACAACCTATTACAATCTAACACTAGTACGGTCCGTACTGGATGCGCTTACTTCTTGGCTAGTGACCTCTACTTTGTCCGAGACATAACTCTATCTAGTCTAGCGTAGGTAGCCAAGAGCTCTTTAAAAGCTCTTGGCTACTTACGCTAGACTAGATTTATCTTTGGCGGTGAGGGCTTTTTTGCCTTTTATTTCATCTTAGACATAGCCCTATTTGGCCTAGCGTGGAAAGCAGCAGAGTTTAAAGGCCTCTTGCTTTCTACGCTAGCCTTTTTCTAGATTATTGTATTGAAGTCCGTCCCTATAAGCCAAAAAACCCTGTGTGCCGAAAATAAACAAACTGGATAGTAACGGTTATAAGAAAGTCTACGATCCTGTCGATCTAATTAGCTATCTTCGGCACTTAGGGTTTTTCGGCTCATAGGAATAGAAGCGAGGTAGTGGGTGGTGGGCGATTCTAGTGTTCTGGTGGGGTGTTACTTCGTCTAGGGCGTTGCTTAGTCGAGTAGGGTACACTTAACTTGGCCCGTGGCCCGTGCTTAGCTTCTTAATTATATAATCGTGTTAGCAGTCAGCCGTAGTCCTTCGTAACGAACTAATAATCTCTTTCGCCTTAAGCTTATCCTATAGTATCTAAAATGGCCCCTTTTAATCTTCTGTACATGGCCGATGATGCTAGTCTTCCCGCAAGACTTCTAATAGTGGAAGAAATCCAATCTGTAACAGAAATCTTTAGCGACACTACTGGGCGTAAAGTTATCAGAGTTGGTGATTACTTTATTATTAAATATAGAGTATAAGTTGAACTACTAGAGGGAGAGACGCAGCTTTTTCTAGAGTAAGTAACAACTGTTCTAGTGCCGCGCATCTATATATTATTCTGGAGCGCGGACCAAAGCAGTAACTATATCGTTATGGAACGTATTAAAGGCTTAAATCTAGAATTGGAGTGGCCAAAGATGGATCAGGCGTTAAAAGAGGCTGTTTCCTTAAAACTCCGGTCGATTTTTGAGGAGATGCGAAAAATAGAGACTCCTAGAGGATACTATAGTATTAGTCATCGCGGGTTGCTAGATAGTCTCTTCTGGACGAACAACCTATCGAATCTATTTTTAGGGCCATTTAATACAGAGATAGATCTGAATAATGCTATGTTAGTAAAATACGTCGAGAACGGCCTCTCTAGATATAAAGCGGATTATTACTCGCGCACCTTTAAGGATATTTTTTAAGGCTACGTACCTGTTTTCTCGCACATAAACTTCTAGCGAAAGAATATTATATTGCGTAGTTCTTTAGCAGTAACAAAGACTAAAGTGCTACGGGACATTACAGATCAGCAACTTATAATCATTAACTAGGAATTTGCCGGTTGGTATCTAAGTTACTAGGAGTATACGAGAGCTATATTTGCCTGCGGATGATAGGATGATGACTAGAACTACTGGATTAATTGAGCGCTTGAGCCGTTTCGAAATGAATATGCCTGGATGGATATTCTACTTCAAGAGCTGTGGTCGTGAAACTGTGCTTAATTTTATTCAACGTAAGCCCGTGTAGTAGAAAATAAAACTAACGTCTATCCGCGCGTAACGGAAGACTAATATTACTTTCTCTCTTAGTAACACCAACGACGACTGTATAGCTTAGAAAATTCGGGAATAGAAACTTTATACTCTTAACTACTTCCTAGTATAGTATCGTGTCGTATGGTTAGGGGCATGAATATATGCTTCTAGAAGTTAAGGAAATTTATTATCTATTATTTACGTAGTTTGTTCTGCTTAAATAGCGATACTTGGTCTATAGACGGTCAATCATTTATAGTATTGTTAAAAAGCTTTCTATGTTTCCAAGAGCTTCCTGACTGAAATAGCTACTTACTAACGTCTCTCCCTAAGTGCTAGGACATCCGCTGTGCTGGGCTAGATAAGGGGTAACCTGTTTTGCTTAGAGAAGATCTAGATAGGCAGTGTTGAACAAAGCGATTAACCTAGTGATAACTAATCTCTTTCTGCGCGATCTCCGCAGCAAAACTCTGAACGAGATTTCTATTAGGTTCTGTGCCGCTTACGCTAAGTGGGTCTATATATTCTGTAAGCTTAATTTCCTGTTCTGGGTGGAGAGCCTGCTGATTTTGATAGCGGATAGTGCGTGAGGTAGATAGACCTTGATGCGGCCGTACGAGCGTTCTACGGCTAACATTAAATCTTCTAGCGCTCTTAGTATAATTATAAAAGTTTTTCTCTAGGTTCTAAAGTAGCTGTAGCTTAAAGTGTAGCCTAGATAGGCTTAATTTAGAATGGTTGTGGTATGGTGACGTTAGTAATGTTGGTAGTGATTGGTAGGGTAGAGCAGGCGTGTCGCCGTCCTGGGCGCTTCGCCGTCCGGCATAGTAATTATTACTCTTAACTTATGCGCTGTGTTTGATAGTTTATTCTTTATCTTAATTTTAGGTCAAAGGTATTAGCGCGCAATAAAGTATTATTGCTGTATTATAGTAAGAATAGTATTATTATTCATCTAGCTTGATTGGCTATTATAGCACGAGCCTGATCAAAGGGAGTCTAAAGGGACAAAATTATCACATTAAGGCGGTATAATATATTGAGTGGCAATGTCTTGCTTATGGATATATAACGCGCCCAATCCGTCTAGTACTAAAAAATATTAAAGCTATACGTCTTAGTAATTACCTTTTAGTTCTAAGTTTATATCGTTATTGTTGCCTTTACTACCTTACTATGTCTTACGCGGTCTACTTAGTGTCTTATCTTGGCGCACTACGAGACTACTACGCTATTTTCGTCAAAACTAACGCCGACCACTCTAGGTTTATATTCTAGGTTACTAAGGATATCTAGAGAGGAATAATATTTGGTTATAAGCCAGCGAAAAGGCCAGAAGACTTAAACTCTTTTATCTCTAAATCCTATATCAGTACTGTCTCCAAAACCAACTATGCTTAAATCTAGTCTATCGTTAATGCAATTCTACCTCTACTGAAATAATTCAACGGACTGAAACGCATCAACCTAAGCGTACTACTAAGACGCTGCCAGGAATAGACTTCTAAAGTAATTTAAGCATTAACAGATCAAGGCGTCTTACAGCGTTAATGAGTATTAGATACAGTAACATAATCTAGATTAGTAATATGCTATCCATAAGAGACGCGCAGGCGCGTCTCCAGAAGAGATAGAGAATACAATCACTTTTTCACCATTAATTTACTATCCTTAATAACCTATTATAATGTATTAATAATAATTACAGATTAAAAATAGGACACGACACAAAGTTGCTAATAAAAGAATAATATCTAGTCTTCTACTAGGCTAGTACGGTCCGTACCGGATGTACTTACTTCTTGGCAGGTAGCCTCTACTTTATCCTAGACATAGCTCTTTCTAGCCTAGCGTGGGTAGTCGAGAGAGTTCAAAGGTCTCTCGACTACCCACGCTAGACTAGATTAATTCTTAGCGGCGAAGGCCTTTTTGCCTTCTACTAGTTTAGAAGAACTAGGCACCGTAGGGCGAGTACTTTATCCTAGACATAGCCCTATTTGGCTTAGCTATTACACGGGGGTTAGTGCTAATACTTCTCTGGCTTGTTCCGGGTTAGGGCGATTAAGAATATAACTAGCTCCGTGAGGGTTGTCTAGTAGTTTAGGTGGAAAAGAGTTATAGATATAACTAGGGTTTTGATAACGCTAATCTATTTAATAGACTAATATATAACTATCTTGTAAAGTAAAGATACTAGTAAGAAAGTATAATTTAAGTTGACTACACTGAGAGTAAATAATAAAATCTATCCATCCTTATATCCTTATTGCTTCTAGTTCTGCTATTAGGGCTTCGACCTGCCATCACTAATGGTTGTCTCTACTTCTGATGGCTGCCGTCACATAACAGCCCTGCTATCACTGATGGCACTGTCTTGGCGTGATGGCACATTACGTGACCTAGCCCCGCGATGGTTATTACCTTCTGACGTGGACGTCCATAGGCCTTCAGCCATCGCGTTACTTATTAAGGAGAGAATCCTTCTTATTACTTGTAATATTAGCGTGGAAAGTACGAGACTCTTGAACTCTGGTGCTTTCCACGCTAGGCCAAATAGGGTTGTGTCTAGAATAAAATGAAGGTCAAAAAGGCCTTCGCTGCTAAGGATCAATCTAGTCTAGGATGAAGTAGAGATTAAAGAGACCTTCGCCGCTCAGGATCGATTCGTTCTATGTGAAAACTTCTAACTAGTCTACGGACGGAACGTTAGACTAGAGTTATAGACGACACGTTTAGAAAATTGTTCTCAAAAGCTTACTAACTTTGTGGTGTCTCTCTAAGCTTATTTATAGCTTCTATCTCCCTCTCCGTAGTTATGTTCCTACTAGAGGTCTTTCTATTCCTTATAATCCGCACACGCTTCTCTAATTTCTAGTAAGTTTACCACGTTCTCTCTGCTATTATACTAGTTATCATAGTTACACTTTGTTTACACCGATCTAGAGTTTAACCTAAGCGCCTTCGTGCTTGCTTACGGATGCGCTTCCTATTAGCTAATAACGCTTACTTATTCTATAAACAGCCTCTTTCGGCTTAGCGTAATAAGTAGAAGCACTTTAAAGTGTCGTGCTTATTACGCTAGTCTTTTTCTAGTTAGGAAAAAACCTTGCCACTTAACGCGCGTCCCTCTAACATCCTAGTGTGCTAGAGCTGGCCAATTGCTAGAAGTTTGTGATTTAAGTGACCTAATTGGTCACTTATTGCACACTGGGATGTCCGTCACGGAGGGACGTACGTTACAACCCCTTATATACTAGTTAAGCGCTTGCCTTATAGAGCGCAGCCCCTTACATACTATAAATTTCAAATATGTACGAGAATTATATCTTGTCTCGCTTCAGCGCTTACTGAACATCTCGATAATATGCGTCCCGCTTTTTATGGAATAATATTAGATAGCAAAGCTATAATACACTTTAGCTAAGAATACTGTAAAGTATATAATAACCCCCCTTTAGTTTTAGATCCACTACTTTAGTCC